ACTGTTCAGGGGTTTAGTGTTTAAGGGGTGTCTACAGAATCCTTGTACTTCTAGAAGGAGGGGCACTGGGGAGTTTTCTTACCCTTTGGAGACTTGTGGCAAGATGGGTCCTGTGTTTCCATGACAGTCTTTGTGGACATGGACAGCCATGTGACTCTTAAAGAAAGTTAGTTTCTATCAGCATCCCTAACTTCTTCCTATCTTTTCCTAAATGCCGCCTTTGGGCTCCCACAATTCTCAGCTCTTACTAACTACTGGCTCCCATGTTTACACACTACAGTAAAATAAAAGCGACAATGATGTACACATGGCTCCCACGTTTACACACTATAGTAAAACAGAGGTAATGATGATGCACGCATGGCTCCCATGTTTACATACTACAGTAAACAGCGATAATGATGATGCACACATGGTTCCCATGTTTACACAATGCAGTAAAACAGAGATAATGATGATGCACACATGGTTCCCATGTTTACACAATGCAGTAAAACAGAGATAATGATGATGCACACATGGCTCCCATGTTTACACACTACAGTAAAACATAGGTAATAATGATGCACACATGGCTCCCATGCTTACACACTACAGTAAAACAGAGATAATGATGATGCACACATGGCTCCCATGTTTACACACTACAGTAAAACATAGGTAATAATGATGCACACATGGCTCCCATGCTTACACACTACAGTAAAACAGAGATAATGATGATGTACACACGGCTCCATGTTTACACACAACAGTAAAATAAAAGTGACAATCATGCACACATGGCTCCCATGTTTACACACAGCAGTAAAATAAAAGTGACAATCATGCACACATGGCTCCCATGTTTACATACTACAGTAAAACAGAGGTAATAATGATGCACACATGGCTCCCATGTTTACACACTACAGTAAAACAGAGGTAATGATGATGCACACAGGGCTCCCATGTTTACACACTACAGTAAAACAGAGGTAATGATGATGCACACAGGGCTCCCATGTTTACACACTACAGTAAAACAGAGGTAATGATGATGCACACATGGCTCCTGTGTTTATACAATGCAGTAAATTAGAAATGAAGTTTTCTGCCTTTCTACACAGAGACCTGTGCCTTAGCCCTACTGCCAAATAGTCATTAAATTTTGATAGATATATTTTCTTCTCAATTGGTTTTAAAATAGGTGTGTCACTTACTTTAGGTTTTGTTTTTGTATTTGCTTTTTGTTGTTTTTAATAAGAGAGTAGAAAAGAATGGGACATTTTGGAGGGAAATGTTAATTTGTCCCTTTTTACATCAAGAGATTACTACCTGATTTTTCCATTTATAGAAGCAGGGGGTGGAGGTTGAAGTATGGCAGCAGGAGGCAGTTTTTCCTAGAGCTTGAGAAATAAGTATACTGAGTATTTTCTCAAGGAACCTTGGAGCTCAGGGGAGGCACCACTATGGCATTTCAAATAGCAGCGGGTGGAATAAATACATGGAGATCCTCTTTGCTTAGAAAGGAACCTCATAGCAATATGGTCAGAAGGAGGAAGCCTCTTGTGAGTGGAGATCATCATGAAAAGTGGTGAGTGGCAAAGGTTGCACTTGGTTTGGGGACACAGCAGGTGAGAAGGTACAGGCCAGACCCATGACAGCATTGGTACAGACTGGGTTATGCTCACAGCATCACCTGGGAGTGGTCACTGTCATACCCTCTGATTTACAGGTTCCTTGCTACTGTTTATTATGAAAAAGTGAGCATAGGGAAGACATCTATTATGATCTAATAAAATCAGTAATTCACAGCAGTTTTCTGACAGATGGCTGCAAAGAGAAGTAAGGACACCTTCTTCCAGTCATTCACAAGGTGCCATATGGACTGGCATAGCCTAGGTGACACAGATAGCATAATTTAAAAATCTAAGGGAGCAGTAATGGTAGACTTGATTTATGGGAGTCCTAATGGGTAGGGACATTGTGACAGTACTATAGGGTGGGTGAGATGATCATGAATGTCTGCAGGGCTCAGAGCGGGCAAGGTTATGTTCTTATATGCCTGTGTGGCTGATCATCAGCCTGTGTGACAACATTCTTTCCATCTTCTGGAGGAAAGAGAGTCTCTGAGCAGAGGCAGTACCTCCATGTCTACAGCCCACTTTGCTACAGAAACCTAACCTTTGAGGTATCTTTGTTAGGGTTACTATTGTTGTGATAAAACACCATTACCAAAAGCAACTCAGATAAGAAATAGTTTATTTCATCTTCTGCTTTGCAATCTGTCATCTAGGGAAGGCAGGGCGGGAACTTGAGACATAAACTTATATAGAATCTACAAAGCAATGCCACTTATTGCCTTGTCTCTAATGGTTTGCCCGGGCTGCTTTGTTATACCACCTAGGGCTGTGTGTGAGGGATGGTACTACTCACAGTGAGCTGGGCCCCCATTTATCAATCATTAATCAAGAAACTGCCCCACCAACTTACCTAGCTATTTCTCAGTAAAGATTCCCACTTTCAAGATATGTCTAGGTTTATGTCAAATTGACAAAAACCAACCAGGACATAGACATTGGGTCTTCTAGGTTTGTATTTATTTATTTATTGTAATTAAACAGTTCATGTATTCATGAGTAACTCATTCTGGAGAAGTGGCTCTTGATTTTTGTTTTGTTTTGTTTTGTTTTTACGAAGTGTGTAATCAAAAGAAGCACATATCTGAGTTGGTTCAGCCTGGGCTGGGTTTTTCTTTGAATCTTAAAGATCAGTGGTTAGTCTGGGTGACACTTACTCAAATGGGCCATCAGACTGACATAGTTCTGCCTGGCATGTTGAAAGAGCCCAAACTATTTACTGAGTGAACAAGTGCTTTCAGTATTTCATACTGAAAATAGTTAAAACCTTTTTTTTTACTTCACTTGTTGTCAACATTTTCTCAAGAAGCAGAGGAAACTACAAAGGGACTGGATGGTCCTAGACTGAGCTTCAGTGTCAGGAACAGGGACATCATTAGTATGCCATCTTCATCAACAACAAGGAAATGGCATGATAATCAGACATATAACAGGAGTGTAAGGAAAACTGATAAGCCCACATAAGAAGGGTAAATAGGACTCTGCCTTGAGTAAGAAATTTGATTTAAGCTTCCAGAAGAAGAAATTCTCACTACTCAACTGCACATGTTAATGTTAGGAAAGAAAATGGTGTAACATTGCACAAAACCAATTTGGGTTTGTCCCACTGAATCAGAATTATGCTGTGGAAGTATAAATATGCAGAGAATATTAAGGAACCAATTTGAAATATGATAGGATAGTACAAAAGTAGGAATGCATGGATGGGTGGATGGATGGGGAGGGGAGTATATGGATGGCTAGATTAATGGGTGGATAAATGAATAAATAACCATACTTTATCTTATTCAGCATTTGCTGACACCTGAAAAGAAAGTTTGTCCTGTACTTTAGGATGGATGACACAATGTTAATGTATTAATGGACAGTTAAGCAAAGAAATAACATTCAGCCTTCCCCATTTGCTTATTTTTGTTAGCACTAAAAGATAAATACACGAAAGGGAAAAAAACAGAGGTAGTAAAAGTCATTGCAAGTAAGTGATAGCAGAGGAGCAGTCAGCTGCCTGAGACAATAGCCGAGTCTGTGTTCTTCATAGTCCCCTAGGAACTAGATTGCATGCTTGGAAAGTATCATCCAGTTGATTTTTCACAACAAACTATTATTTTTTAGTTCATTTTGTATTACTTCAACAAATACTTGAGGCAGAGTACTTTGTAAATAAAAAAGGATTAGTAAGCTCACAGCTTTGAAGGATGGCAGTCTAAGCAATATGACAACTGTACCTGGGATATCCCTACCTGTGTGACCACATTGTAAATATATCCAGATCTAGGGGCTGTGTGAGGGTATACAAAAATACATGTGGAACAGGAAATCAGAATGTACCTAGGCTCACTTAACACAATCCACTTTGATGAGAATTAATGTCTTCCAACAAGAGCAAGCAAACTTTCCATCTTTGGGGAAACCATCAGTCCCTCTTCAAGAAGCAACTGGGATTTATCCCTCACCACCCAATAACATAGCCTGGAGGATTGAATGCATGAGTTTTGACATAGACAAACCACAAGCCATCAAGCCCCATCACAACGATGGCAAAATTAGTATTATTGACCCTATTTTATGATAAGAGGGATGGAAGCTAAGGAGTTTAATTATTTTTCTCTGTTTTCCAAGGTTAGGACACAGTAAAAGTAGCATTAATGATGCCCACATGCCTTCAGTATCCAGTGCTCCATCCATAAGCCACTCTTCTCTAAGAGCTCAAATCCCTAGTATGGCAGAGCCCTGAGAATATTCTAGAGGATACAGAACTCTTTCCACTCTCTGACCTGACAGCTGATTGTTGGAAAAGGGATGGAGACTAGGTAAGAAGGATGTTTCTGCTTTCACAGCATTGGTCAAACAGTGAACTAACTGGGCACCTATCTCTGGCAAAGCATTAAAGAAATTGTCTGTGCATGCTTCAGTGATCAACGGGAATTTGGATCCGATCAGTTGTCCAGCAATCATTTGGACATTGGACTTGCAGTTTGTGGCAATCAGGAGAATGATGAAGGAAAGTGGGGGCTGATGCTCGGATTCACTGCTATCCTCTTTCATGAGTGTGTCTATGAATGAGTGGGGAGTTGGGAAACCAGCATTCACTTTCCACCACCAGGCAGTATGGCTGTGAGTTGGCTGTTGGTCCCCTCTAGAGCAAGATACTTTATGTACAGCCTGGGGAGTAAGCCTATACTTGAAGTGAGCAGGTGAGGACACATCAGAGGGATGGATGACACAGAGCATACTTGCTTTCCTTACATTTCTTCCTAGACAGAGTAGTGAATGAGGATTTGTGGCTCCCAGAACAACTTCATTTACTAAAACTGTGCAGTTGAAAGAGGGGGATCTCTAGTGGTATGTCAGGGCCACCTGTTCAATTCTTCCTTCCAGACTTTTTCCATTTGCTTCATGAAAACACAGAAGGAATGCTTAAGGGGTTTGACTCCAAGCTTGAGAAAACAGAAGATCCACTGAGTGACAGCCACAGTCTCCAGAATTCAGGTAAAACTTTGCATCTAAATTCCAGGCTGAAACCCAAGCCGAGGTTCAACAATGACAAAAGTGACAGATTGCTTTGTCTTGTGAAAAGCTGTCATATAATTGAAGATAAAAGGAAAAAGTTGTCTAAGTACAGGACATATGTTTATAGAGAAAGCTGTGTAGCCCCTATCCATACCCATCTCAACTCTATAGTCTTAGAGGACCATGCTGAACCATGCTCAAAGACAGTGACTGGGATGAGACCCCCAGAGATCCCAGGTCTCTTGAGGAGTGTGATAGTCAAGCTTCTCTTTCTAGAAAAGCAGCAGCTGTTCATGTTAAGCACCTACTATATGGCAAGGTCTCTCACTGCTCCTGGAGCTCACCAGTTTTCCTAAATGCCCTTCATCTCCCCAGATGGGATTACACACACTTGCAGCTGTGCCTAGCTTTCCCCTTGGGAGCTGGGGATTAAAATGCAGGTCCTCATGCTTGTGTGACAAGCACTTCACCCACTGAACTGGTCCTTGGCTCCTCTTTATCTTTCTTCCCCCAAATATATATGGCAACAGAAAATAAAAACATTGCTGATAAGTAAAATAAGTTAATACTAATATTTTTACTTGCTTTGGGAGATAAAACGAATCACCAAACAAGCTCCAATGCTTGGGGGATAGGAGTGACTTTACGTCTCTCTTTCTAAGGAGGGTTATTTTGGTGGTTAATGATTTTAAAGACTCATTTATTTATTATGTGTACAGTGTTTGGCCTGCATGTATGCCTGAAAGCCAGAAGAGGGCACCAAATCTCATTACAGATGGTTGTGAGCCACCATGTGGTTGCTGGGAATTGAACTCAGGACCTTTGGAAGAGGAGGCAGTGCTCTTAACCTCTGAACCATCTCTCCAGCCCTTGGCTAATGATTTCTTTTGTCTGCTTAGTATTCTATAATCCTAAAAGGATATAACTATATAGAAAATTTGGGAAAGACTTTGAACACTTTGTTAGCATCTCTCAGCTAGAGACCACACCTATCACCTGCTTCTATTCCCATACTGGGTGCCACTCGCCTCACATGTGTAGTAGGTCTAAGCCTGAGACAGACACATCACACTAACCCCCATCCCCATGTCTGCCTGCACAATCCCTCTTAAAGAGCTGGGGAATACTCTCCTTTGGGAAATAAAGCACATCCTGCTGAGTTGTGTCTGTAACCGTCTAGTTATCTTCCCTGTAACCATCAACTTCATTCTAGATGAGAAATATAGATATTATTTAATGAAGTTAAGAAAAACAGATCTTATGCTTCAGTCCAAATGTGTGGGTATGTACACTCACTTCCCACATTCTGACTTTTCAATGACGTCCTTTTCATTTTACCTGTTGCTGTGTGATTGGTTTAGATGAGAGGAGGGAGCATACAGAACTGGAGGAGTGAAGAAAAGCACCACTCATGCAGGAGGGGCTCTGAGCACCCCTTGGACCTGCTGTGTCTTTGTTCTATTTGTCCTGATGCTGGGGACACATGCCTTTCATCCCCAGGTCGTCATTCCTGCTCCTGTATGAGGCACATTCCTATCATGCCTCCAAACCTAGAATAACTGCTCTTTGCTGCACCTGTATTTTGTTCTCTTTCCTAGAGAAACTAATGGCTTTCACATCAGGGCTTCCATTTGTTCCTTCGTTTCTGTTCTGGCTCAACAAGTAGACATGTGTCTACAAAGTCTTATGTTTACCATCCTCTTTTCTAGGGAGGGAGATCTGTGAAAAAATGAATTATATTTTATATACCTATGTTTCTCTAAGCCTAGGGAGCTATAGTTGCTCAATGAATGCTTGTGAATTGCCTTGAAAAGAAGGAGAAAGGGACCTATGCTCATGACATCAGGGTTTCTGCAGCTTGTGAGCAGCGTAGTTGGAAGTCAGTTGTTTTCTCAGTGGGACTGTTCAGTCTAATACACCATGTTCAGCATTCTCAGCCCTACCACTGGCATGGCTGTGTCTACCCCTAAAGCACTCATACCACATCTAGAAGTTGCTAATCCTCTGGATGAGAATCCAAGTGTATCTTCATATTCTCTTGACCCCATCTGCCAATCAGAAAGGATATATGGCCTCAGCAATCAAGAGCCTGCATTGGATGTCGGTTGGAAAATAAGTACACCCTACTAGGCTACGTCTGTAATCATCTTCCCTAAGTTCTTACTATCCAGCCTTTCAAAAAGCTTCCATTCATTTTGCACACACTTGGAGATGACAAAAACTAACGTTAAAACCAAAAGGAAAACAGTTATCAAAGCCCAGGGTTTTTAAGCAACAAGTTTCCAGTCAGTTGTCTTTGTGAATTTTGTGAAGTCTGAGGAAAATCAGATTCTTCAGTATTCCTCCTTTCAGAAAAACCCTTTTCATCCTAAAGAAAAAAATTACACATGATATTAGTGACTGATGTGATAAGCAATACTGCATAAATGGAGTCAGGGCATAACTCATACTCTGTGTATCTTTCTCTTCTAATCAATATTCAGCATATAAATGACCCCAATTTTACACATTCAGAAGAAGAGGAGCTGGAAACAAGGAGTCTGCAGGTTAGGATGGAGGGCAGTGTTTCATGTTAGATGGCTATAATTTAAAGCCTGTGGTTTGGTGGGTCATAAAATAATAGGATGCTTTAGCTATGGAAAGATTATTCATAGCAGAGGAAAATTATTATAGCCTGGGGGAATGTAACAAAATGGTAACAGAATAATTTGGGGAAATTTTAAAAGAGATCATTCTAGAGATGCTGAAATTATGTATCTGTGTTTGGACTATGGCTCCTCTGTCTCTCCCTGGGATATTGTTGTCTGCCTCTGCCTTCTTGGTACCAAAGCTAGTCAGCCAGACTGGCCTCTGAATATCACATAGACATCTATTTAAATCTATGCTAATGGGATTCCTCTGTACATTCAGTAAATTAGTGTTATGACAAATACAAGGCCGTGCAGCTTTTTCATTTCTGAGATTGGTTTTTAATCTATGATAAGAACTCTGGGCAATTAAGGGAAATATCATTAACTTATAACGTCTCCTTTTCTGTCTCAGTGTTTCAGTGCTTGTTTGATTTCTATGAGCAGAAGAATGCCCTTTATAATAACCAAGATGTTTCTAATCTCTTCAAGTATTAGTGCCAGAGACCTCAGGCAAAAGCAATTCTCAAAGCTCTCTATGAGGTAGTTTTATATGTGATTATAGTACATCTAATATCATGCAAATATTAAAGAGGTTTAAAACTTCTAAACCCATTGATATTTTCCCATCCTCAGGCAATTGATAAAAGCAGAGACATACTGCTGTAGGATAAGCCTTTAGGTAAATGTATCACACAAACATCACCTAAAAATATTGTAGGACTTAATTTCATCTAATGCATAGTCCCTGGGAAATTTGAATATTGCTCCTCAAAAACGTTCTCTCTACTGGTATTTAATTTGTCTTCTGTTGTAACTTTGTTTCTTCCCTCATTTGGCACAATGTTACAATGCATGCCTTCTTGCTTCTAAGTTCTTGCCATTCAAAGTCTCTTTCAGAGGCAGAACACATGACAGTTCAGAATTGGTCCTATCAAAGGATGCTGCCTTGTTTTCCTGAGAGGACCCTGGTTTGATGGTTGACTTCTCATTGACCTGTGGACAGCTCTCACCATCACAAATTTTCTAAGTCTTTTTGCTGTGGTCACAGCATTTGAAAAGATTCACATAGGTTCAGAATTTTGGCAGATTTCAAATGGATCCAGTCTAAGTTTGGCTTATTCTTCTGAAATATGCAATATGGTTCTTTAAAAGGACATGGAATGATTTTAAACATATTTCCTAATAAAGAAGTACTTCTTTGCTGTGTGTTGTTTATGTTTATGTTTGTGATGTATGTGTATGTGTGTGTACACACCCAAGTCCATGTGCAGAGGCCAAGGGAGTACCTTGGGCATCCTGCTCTATTACTGTCTGCCTTATTTCCTTGAGACAGAGCCTCCCACTAAGTCAGAAAGACCCAGTGATCCTCCTGTCTCCCCTCCCCTCTGTGCTAGGGTCAGGGACTCTTAAGTCTTTGTCTGCCCTTTGTGTGTGTGCTGGGAATTCAGGCTCAGGTCTTCATGCTTTTATATCAAGCATTCTTACCCACTAAGCCACCTCCCCAGCTATAGAATCATTTTAAAACTAAGAAATTAGAACTCATTGCTAGAGTGAGTTCTCCAAAATAGCCTTATGTACTTTGCATTGTCTGTGAACATGTATATTTGTTGGTCATGAGTGTAAATGTTGACTCTAAACAGTATTATGTCCTTGAACCTGGGTGGCTTATGTGGCCAGGCTTTGAGAGTCATGGGTCAGCTCCTCCCTCCCCATGTCACAAGACTCTACTGTCCTGGGTGGCTTTGCAAACAGCATGTCAGCCTAGTTGTGGGAGAAGAGACTTAGTCATCATGGCCTGACCTCAGGAATAGAGAAAAGAGACTAGGGAGCAGGGATCTGATATTAGGCCACTGGATGGCCATTGACATTTTTATAGTATACTGAAGCCAATTCCCCTTAGGATGAGCTGAAAAATGGTGCAGGGAGTTTTTAATTTTACTTGGAGACTAAGAAAAGAGGCACCAGGGAAATGAAGATAGTCAATAGCCCAGAGCTCTTAATTAAGAAAGTATTCAGCGACCCTAAATCCTGGAATCAATACACGTGTTAAGCAGGCAGCAGAGCATGGGGAAGAAAAGCTGCCTGTCTGATCATCCTTCCACCTAGGTACTCACGCTAAACCTAGACTTCCCAAGACCTGCGGCGAGAGGCCTCTGCCTGGCCCTCATTCAGCTGTCACTAATGAAGTTGTTGAAAATATTTTCCTCTAAAATTGATCGTTTACTTAAAGATGAAAATCCCTATGGTTTTATGGGTATTTTCCCCAAATTAAAACATTCCATATTTGCTTATGTTTGTATAGTAATTTTGCTTTCAAAATGGAAGGATTGGGAAATCATGTGGTAGAATAGAAAACCAGTGGTGATTTTCTTCCATTCTCTGTGTGTTAGATGTAAAGAATTGAACTAATCAAACTTACTAGTTCTGGACACAGTGTTATTAGCTTATTTGAGGAAATTTTCTTGTTTTATTATTTTTACCCTTCATCCCAGTTATATATTCCCATATGTACACATGTAATATTCAATTTAATGTCTATAATGATCAGTACAATGTGTGTGTGAGTGGGTGTGTGTATGTATGTATGTACATATACATTACTTACTAGTGTATATTTTACATCTTATCCCTGAAAAACAGCTTGGACTGTCTTTGTTGTAGTGATACAAAGGTATAAAGACCAGATAGTAAGTCTCCCCTGTCTGGAATGTATGAATTGGTGAGATTTAGTGTCTCTCACATCAGAACACCTTTCCCCAGGCTGATGTTATAGACACATGCATCCATCCTCCAGGGCTCCCATGTGTACTTCTTCCCCCTGTCCTTCCTCCTCCCCACATCTCTTAGCAGCTGCTTTTCTGCTTTGTTAGTCTAGAGTTATCTGAATTCTCTATTGTAACACGAGTTCTAATTGGTCTCAATAATAAAAACCCACAGCCAGATACCAGGGCAAATGCTGAAAGATCAGAGAAAGTAAAGAGCAGCCACAACCAATTGTTATCTTACTAATTCCTCAGTCAATAGAGATTGAGCTCCTGTCTCCTCCCGCCTTATATTCCTCTTTTCACTCAGCCATATCACTTCCTGTCTGCCTGTACAGACTTTCAGACCTCTGTGGTTAACTGGTGGCTAACTCTGCCTTCTGATCTTCAGGCAAGCTCTATTTGTCAGAGTATAAACAAGATATCACCACCACACTCTATAATTTTCAATGGTCAAGCCATACAGTGTATATTCAATAAATAGTCTTGCTTGTTTTACCAAGTGATTATTTGCTGTCCCTCTTTTGGTCTGTGAATTTCTTCCCCAGCTGAGTAGAATGCCCCGTCTTGTAGCTCTGCATAACACCCTCATACCCTCACCTGCTGACAGACATCAGTAGTTGTTATGCTATTATAAACACAGCTACTTGTGAACATCTGTGTTTTTTAATTTGCTTTCATTTCTAGATTGAGTCATGTAATTCCAGAGTGATTGCCATTTGTATTCCCAAGGCAGAGAAGGGGTCCCAGTTACCCCATACCTTCACCTATGTCCAGTGTAATTAGATGTTTTTGGTTTAGCTATTTTTGTAAGTTTATGGTATACCACTACGGTTTTAATTTGTATTTCTTTAATGGCTCATGGCTTGTTTACCACCCCATATCTTATTGGATAAAGTGTTTCTTCTATCTTTGCTTAGTATTCTTGATAAAGAAATTTTCTTTTTATTCTGAGAGGTTTTTTAAAAAATATATTTTAGGCTCAAGAATATATTTTAAAAATATGTATTTTATAAAGTGTTCTCTTAGTAAAATGGCTGGTTTCTGTGTTATGATGATTTTTTTCCTCTTTTGATTTTATTTTTTGAGACAGGGTCTCTGGATGTAGGCTGGCTGGCCTGGGATTTACTGTGTAGCTCACACTGGCCTCTGAGCTGACTTCCTCTGACTCTGTAGTGTAGACTGCCACACCCATAGGATTTCTTTATCATCTCTTCCTCCTTGTTTTTTATTTACCTTAACTATGTTTTTCAAAGATACATTTTTCAGTTTGATGAAGCCCAGCTTATCAGAGTTTCCTTTTTAACTTTTTATATTTTTAAATGCTGGACGTGGTGATTCAGGCCTTTAATTCCAGCCCTTGGGAGGCTGAGACAGGCAGATATCTAAGAGTTGAAGGCCAGCCTGGTGTACACAGCAAGTTGCAGGCCAAACAAACTACATAGCAAAACCATGTCTTCAATAATAAACAAACAAAACCCCAAACCCCAAATTATATTTTAATTATTTTATTCTTTGACAATTTCATAAATGTAAGTAGACTTTCTGGTCACACCAACCCTCTACTCTCTCCTATGCTTTTCCTCCTCTCTAACTTCCCCCACCCTTCCCAACCTGCTTTGTCCCTCTCTGCTTATTCTTTTGAGTCAGAGTGTCCTGCTGAATCTTAAAATCACTGCTGTGGCTGATCTCCCTGTCCTGTGAGCTCCCAGGATTTGTATATCGTCACCCCCAACACTGAGGTCAGGTGCACATGACCACACTTCCTTTTTACTTGGGTGCTGGGATTTGAACTTGAGTTGTCATCCTTGAGTAACAACCACTCTTACCCACTGGGTCCTTTCCCCAGTCCTTGATGACTTCTTTTTCTTGATTTATCGGACTGGTTCCAACCTTCAGTATATTGTGGAATCCAAGATCTTTGAGGGAAAGCATTCAGCCTTCGGTCATCACTTATCTTAGCTAGGATTCTAGAAAGGTTTTATATTAGTTAAATTCTCTAATAGGTGTAGCTTTCTGAGGAATTTTAAGAATAGATAAAGGCTTTTCCAAAAGCTTTTAGATTACATCTAGTGAGTTCATTGTGCTGCCTTTTCAGCCGATTACAATAGTAAATTATACATGATTTTCAGAGATTAAATGAAAATTTCATTCTAAGATAGCCCTACCCAGTTATGATATATTTTTTCCCTTTACTTATATATGCTGACTGTACAAAAGTTGAGTTCATTATGACATTATCTCACAGGTACATCCTGTGCTTTGATCATGTTTATTCCATCTTTACATCCTCCCTCCTTCCCCCCCATATCTATAAGAGTACACTTTGAGCTGGAGAGGGGGCTCAGGGGTTAAAAGCACTTGCTGTTCTTGCAGAGGACCTCTGTTTAATTCACAGCACTCATTGTCTGAAACATCTGTAAGTCTAGTTCCAGAGAATCTCCCCTGACTTGTGTGGGCACCAGGCATACATTTGGTGCACATAAATACAGCCAAAAATCTATAGATAAAGTCTCACGAAGTCTATAAATCTAATTTAAAAGAATATCCTTATTTTTAGCATTCTGTTATTTTTGTTTAAATATTTCCTCTGGTACTCCCCTATGAGAGAAAATATACAATTCCCGTCATTGTAACACTGACTTATTTTGCTGAACAAGATGATGTCTAGTTCCACCTGTTTTCCTGTGCATGATGAATGAAGGCCCAATTGTTTATATGCCTCATTAGCCATGTCCATTGAATATTGTTAATTTCTGCTCTTATTTTCTGAAAGTTTATTTCTGTTGTTTATCTGTCGTCTTTTCCAATTTTAGTTTTACCATCCTTAGCTTGTTTTCCATCAGAATAATACTGACTGAGAAGAATGAGTTGGGAAGTGAAACTTTGTCTTTTTATTAAGTATTTGTAAATAATATGTTTGTTTTTCTTTGAAACTTTGATTGAATTCACAAGTAGAGAAGAGACATCCAGACCCAGACTTCTCTTTGTGAGTTTTTCAAAGGCCCAGTGTCTTCAGTGGACATAGGACTGTCCAGATTTCTTTTATTATTTTGTACTTATAGATATATTGTGGTTGTTTTTGTCTTCCAAGGAAAGTCTCCCTTCCAGAGAATTGCCATGTTGAGGGATACAGCATTATTCATAGGGGACTGGGAATGTGGCTCAGTTGGTGAAGTGTCAGTGACAACCCTGAGGAGACTAGTTTAGCTACCCAGTAACCATGTAAAAGAAAAAGCCCAGGATGAAGCAGAGATGGGCACCTCTTTGGAACTCACTGGGCTTCTTGTCAAGCTAACTGGTGAATGTGGGGTTCAGTGACAGCCTCTGTCTAAAAAGACAAGATGGAGAAACCCAGTGTTTGTCTCTGGCCTGCACATGCATATGCATACAC